TTTTTACCCGACTGCCAAAGAAGGAGGGTAATGTTTTTCGAGTGTATGTAAGTATGTATGTATGTCTTTTCCTTTGTGACCACCTGTAGCCTAAACGGCTTGATGGATTTTGATGTATGAGGTATCGTTAGATTTGTCTTGATTACGGGAGTGTCATAGGATACATTTTATCCTAAAAGTCCCACGGGATAAAGACATAATAATATTTTTTCTAAATTTCCCTTTAAAAAAATATGTATGCGGTATCATTAGATTCATTTCAATCACGGGAGTAATTAATATAGGATACGTTTTTTCTCAAAATTCCCACGGGAACATGTTAATTCTGCGTCAACGCAAAGCAACTCATGCGTTAGCAAGCAAAAAGATAGGGCGTGGCCTGGCATGCGGCGCGCGGCGCGGTGCGGAGGGGGATATGCTCGAGTATACAGCCCGATTGCGGGCACACGCATGAGGGCACACGTCGTTGACGGTCGTCTCTAAATAGCGATTTTATTCGATATATCCCTATTTGTATATATCGAAATAAAAACAGCTAAAAAGTTATAAATAAAAAAATTATTATTAAAAAAACAAAATACCCGACTGCACACTAAAAAAAGAGTAAAACAAGCCCCACAATAATATTGATCAATCAAATGCTAAAAACTAATTATGTAATACCGTTTAAACAATACCTATATTAAAATACACTACAATATGTGTTCGTAATCGATAGTTAAATAAACAGAAACTTATTTTGAATACAAATTTACTGAATATAATTTATAAATGTTGATGGAAAGCATCGCAGGCGGGGACCACCTTGACCGCCACCAACGAAAATTCTGCTAAATGGTGCACAACCGAAATGACTATAAATAAGCCTCTGTTGGTCCCCGCCTGCGATGCTTTCCATCAACATTTATAAATTATATTCAGTAAATTTGTATTCAAAATAAGTTTCTGTTTATTTAACTATCGATTACGAACACATATTGTAGTGTATTTTAATATAGGTATTGTTTAAACGGTATTACATAATTAGTTTTTAGCATTTGATTGATCAATATTATTGTGGGGCTTGTTTTACTCTTTTTTTAGTGTGCAGTCGGGTATTTTGTTTTTTTAATAATAATTTTTTTTATCTTTTACGGTGTTTTCTTTTTTTTAAGGGGTAAAATCATCGAATGACTGCTCCCGCCTGGGTGAGGCGGGAGGGAGTGTTAGACTCTTACTGACTAAAAACCACCCTGTTCCTTCTCCTGTACGTCGAGCCTGAGCCCCGGTTACCCATTAGGTTCTCCGGGACTCCGAATCGGCATCAGCCCTGTTGGACCCCATCCGTGGTGGTCTGATGGCTGTTTGAGGCGCGCGCGGTACGCGACGCGCCGTACGCTCGGGTCTGGCTCTGGTCGGAGGGTGAGCCACCCATGCTCGCCGTCCGCATGCCCGCGCTTACGGTAGCCGGAGATCGGACCGCGATCCCCGACGCCCGGAGTGTTTTTTGCGATGGCTGAAAAGAGACAGCGCTTCGCTGCCTCACGCGTCCCGCCTCCTCCTTAGCGAGCAAAAGGAGGAGACGGCATCCCAGTGGGGGACTCGCTCCGCATCATGGCCCGCACTAGGGCCGGACGCGAGAGGTCGCCATCGCCGATCACGTCCCTGAGGGCACAGCGGTGCTCAGCCCACGCAGGGCAGTGTGTTCCACCGTGTCCTCAGGGCGGTTCTCGCAATCTTTTTCGGTCTAGCTTTAACTTCCCTAATAGCCCTATTCACGGCTTGTGCCCACGCTACACGTCCATCAACGTATCTTCTATCTTCAAATGTGCATAAAGCTAAGTACTGGAATGCAAGAACCTGCTATTATAAAAATTGAGAGGGTGAAGACTTCGACGCTTAATAAAAGTTTTTATAATCTTATTATTTCGTATTTTAAACTGTTTGACCTTTGTAGGTTTAGGTAGGTACCTAGATACATAAGTAGAGACCGAGTAGCAACACCTACCTACTCTCTGATAAACTTGAACCTATTAAATATAGCAATATAATATCTAACGCGTTTATAGCCAAGGGTGGAAGTTGTGGTAAAACATTCATGTAAAGAAGAAGGCTCTATCTATGAGCCTTCAGTGTCGGATAGTTCACTCACTCACTGCTGCAGACTGTAGTCCAAAAATAAAAACTCGCGCTTTCTACAATCTAAGCAATAAGGTAGTCCAATCTTCATTGATTATAAAATCTGTGGATACGATTATTTGCTTAATAACTGTGCATAAAGACTTCATCTTTCAACAAGGCCAAGCACCCTCGGGGCACGGGATAATATTTATAGTTGGCCAAGATTGTAGAATAATAATAAGTAAAAAAACTAGCATTAGCAGTCATGACAACGTCAACTGTTGACAGTGACATAAAGATAACCTAAAAAACTTTATATATTTAGAATTTTTGTATTTTGCTGCACATCTGCTACTTTCAAAATGATGAAAAGTCTAAGTAGAGCACCAAACATAGTATCAAACTTGAAAAATAAAGTTAAGTTTCCTGATAGATTTCAAGGCACCATACTCAAGAAATGGGCAGATTACTGGAAGAATCTATTTGCAGACTATCGTCAAATGCTACAGGATTTAAGGACTGATATTCAAGAAGACCCCATAAAAGCAATGAAATGGACCGCAGGCTTGGGAGCATTGTATCTGTTATCTACGAATAACCCTGACGAACTCGATTTTAAAGACTCTCTTAAGCGAATAAACAACGAGACTGTTATGTTAAGCCCTGATTGTCTGAATCCCAAAACAGTGGAACATTTATCGTATCTAGATACATGCTACAACCAGGGTACGATTCATTATAAAAGTTTGGGAATCCTTTCTCTCATGTACACAACTGACCTCAATGAAACATGTGATTTGTACAAAGCAAAGTGTTCCTACTTACAACCAACCTATGTAAGTTTACCTTCAAAGATTATTGATGTAGGAATAATGGGTCAATGGTGGAATCTTTACATAAAAACTCATAATTATGATGTTAATTAATAAATGTTGTCATGTAGTCTTTATTAGTATATTGTACAGATGTATCGTTTTAGATTGTTAATATAATTTCAATTGTAATATAGTGTTTTATTGTAAATACATTATTTTACTGAGTATTCATCAATTTAAATACTAATTAAAATTACAATTTACTTTTGAAAAGAGCTATTTTGAGTTTTTATGCAGTTGTATACCTACTTTGTATTGCTATTAAATAAATAACAATATGCCGATTATAATTATAAATATTTTTGACCACAGTAAATTAATGATTAAACTGTAAACACAAAGCGGTCTCCGGAGACCGCAACCTATTGTTCTATAATTGTGTCTATAATGACAGTACTCAACGAGTTGAATTGAATGAATAAATAAAAAAATAGCATCTTGACAACCTTCATCAATGGAAGTAGATGTCTCCCGGAGCAATGTAGGGATAAAAAATATTAATTCTTCAAAGTATTTTTGTCAGGGGAACAATTTATTAAATTAGCCCATAGTTTTGAAACTTATTCAATGCAAATATAATAAAACTGTAGAAGTGTAAATTCATCTATACAATACGGGTGTCCTTGAAGAGGACGATTAAACGGAGCGCCATTTCAGCAAGCCATCAAAAAAAAAAAATCATGCCAAGATCACCCGTGGGTGATCGGCAAGTTTCAACAGCTATCAGAAAAATATTCGAAAATTCGAAGTCATGTAGTTTTTAAATTACTCAGTTGCACGGAAGGGCTGAAGGGACTCTGGAGTAACTTATCTGGAGGTTACTCCAGAGCATAATCCAGATTACCTCTGTTCTGTGTGTGTTAACATAGGCTACTTATTACCCCTGAGAAAGCGGGCGAAGCGAAGATTCATTATAAAGTAACTAATTTTAATCAGACTGCAGCCTTAGGTTTAACAAAACAAAATGCTGTAATTTTTATTAACCTTTATTCAACTTATTAGGTAAGCAACATTTACCTAATGTTTAATCCTTGCTAATGTAAAGCAAAATTACAGCAATTTGAAACAAAATGCTGTAATTTTTATTAACCTTTATTCAACTTATTAGGTAAGCAACATTTACCTAATGTTTAATCCTTGCTAATGTAAAGCAAAATTACAGCAATTTGTTTTGTTAAACCTAAGGCTGCAGTCTGATTTAAATTAGTTGCTCTATAATGAATCATGATGATGAATAACATTAATTCATAAATAAGCTATTCATGCTGAATAAAACTGAGAGCACCATCTTGATTCTCACTTTTCAGTGAACTTGATAAAAAGCAGCACTATAAACATTGGGAGGTTTAAAGGTGGTTTGGGGGTTTGGGGGTTTCATGAATGAAATTATTAGTGTTGAAGAATTTTTTGTATTTCAGTTCTTACTAATATGTTAAAACAATTAATGTATAAAATCTATTAAGTTTCACAAATCATCTCATGCTTTAGGTTTTTGACCAAAATGCAATTCTAAAAACATAAATCACCACTAAGTGAACCCTGCAAATATACATAATATATTCTTCTACAAACATTACAACACTGAACACATTCAGAAATGAGTGATGATGATATTACGGAAAACAAACCAACAAACAAAACCTTTTCACTTTCTTGTTACTTGAGGTTAACTAATGCATAACTTTAACATCATTGAAGTTAACTGTTTAATTATAGCTTACATGTTTTTATGTTAGGCAAAGATAATCAAAAATAATCCAGTTTTAATAAAATAAAAATGTATTTAATATAATATGCTTAAACACAGCGACAGTTCTTTTGGATATGAAATAAAAACATGTAAGCTCAATGAATAAATAAGTGACAGAAAACTTGCACTCCACAAACTAAATAGGCAGATAATTTTTATTTCGCAACAATAGCATTCATAACTAAGACTGGATCATTCATTAACAAAACATTTCCTTTAATGCCCAGAGAATTAGAGTTATTGGCTAGACTATGTTCTAATAAAGTCTTAAAAAATATAAATAGTAATTGATTTTCCAACTGTGATTGAAACAAAAACCATTCTTTAATAAAAAACAAATAAAAATCACCACTTTGATTAGGTTTTAAGTTCTTATAAAGTGAAAATGTCATAAAGTTACAGTAATGTAATAAAAACACCTGAAAAAAGTTTCAAAACTTAAAACTTCCTGTCTAAATTAAGAGCAAAAAAAAAACTCGCAACACCTCTTTCGTTTACCGTTTCTATACTTCAAAATAACAACTTATCTATAAAGTAATCCAGCCCAATATGATCATCTATGACAAAAGCTTCAATGATATTTGAAGTAAATTAAAATTAAACACAAAGGTACATTGTTCAACTCATTTTGATTAGCCATAGAATACATAAGTTCATGACATACAATCATATCAAGCTGGTAAGGAAATATGGACACATAAATTTTTACAAATCACAATATCACATTTCAAATAGTTGATTGCCAGTGGTAATGCTATAATTATTTAAAGAATTTACTTGGTACTATAATTAATGCCTACAAGGTAAAGATTATAGGGATTTTACATTGTTTACATGCGTAGGATTAATACTTTACGAATTATGAAAAAAAAATAAAATTAAAAGCTTTCTTCCTTTATGTAATTGATACTTTTACAAATTACAATAAAAGTCAAATATTTCCTAAATTCAAGCCGTACATAAATAAGCAACAAACACTCGAACAATTAGTACAATATTTACTTGAATTTATCCACTGCAGTATGTATTACCAATTACTTGAGATAATTGATAAAATCAGAAATGAATAATTTATTTATATCACAATATTTCAGACTTTGCTTACAAGTTATAATACAATACATCAAAAGGTTTATATATAAATAAACAATAACTGCTACAACTAGATGAGGTGTGGGACTTCCGTGTTGCGAAAATAATGTTTCATCACAGATAATTATAACAAAGTCTTACAATCATAGATTTCAGTTACAACCGCCTAAACATGAGTACAGTATGTTATATTGAACAACTGCGATTTTATAGCACTCCTATAGTGATAAATATAAATATCATTCATAATTTCAAGGGGTGATTACCATCATAACTATATTTTTCTACATTGTGCCATACATTGCCTTACTGGCTATTTCAATACAAAGATGCTATATAAAATTATATGATAATACGAATAATGTTATACATTCGTTAATCAATACAATATCGCTTTAAAGGCACAAAATTATTTAAATCATTATGCGATGCAAGACTAGGCTTATTGTATAGAAATGGCAGCAACCAAATAGATTTCGATAATGTTATTAAATATTGAAATTCAGACTCATGTTAATAAAATAACCTAATAACTTCTTCAGACCAAGATAAAGCTAAGATAATACTTTGATATTTCAAGAATTTTGTTAAACTTAGCCATATAAAGTTCAATGAAATAATTATTTTGCCAGTCAGCCAATCCATGGGAAAAGTGTTTTGATGACGAAAAGCTGTTAAATATTTTAAATTTATACCTTCCCAATGAGCTTAGCACAAGCAGCCATACCATCTAATTACTATTGACTATGAATTCGAAAGTTAACTAAGATCCTCAAGCAGAGTGGACTACATTTGGGCCAAGTTATACAGAAAACAAGTAAATGATTTTTTCACCTCTTCAAATTACAACCATATTTTAAAACAAGCTAAATATTAGTGCTTCAAATAAAATGATGCTCCCAATCACGTAATGAATAACATTAAAGTCCATACAAACATGCAAAATTAGAAATGAAAAATAAAATCGGCCTTAAATAAAACCTTGATTTACTTTTTACAAGAAATATAAACAAATCACTTGAACAAAACAACTAATTCTAAAACATTTTTCCTCGATAAACGTATGTTGTAACATAATCGTGTTGGATTGCATTGCAAGTCCTGGAGATTGCAATGTTTCGGCTGGTAGGATTGCAATATGGCGTAAGAACAGCGACGTAGACCGGCGACGCAGCGGCTCCTAGAGCAGAATTAGGTCGGGCGCGTGCAGCTCATAGTGGTACATTCCATCGAAGTCATCCAAGTCCTCGTCCAGGAACAGATCCTCATCTATAACGTATCATTATTTATAACTAGAACATTCAGCAGTTCAGACAACAAACACTGCACCGCGGGAACTCGACTCTTGGGAGCACACACTACCAGGCAGGCCACATCAGTCGGATGCGTCGTTGCTATCTTCGTACCCTAAACATTTTATAAATGCAGTTAATATGACGTTTGCTATTTCGGTGACTACGCCTTAATATTATGTTGGAGTATTTGAATGTGAACGTATTTAATGGGATAAAGTGTGCTACCAAGAATCATCAAATTTCATCACCACTTTAATATACACTTAAGAGCAAAGAAACGCAGCCACTACGGTTTTTTTCTTTTGCATTTCTTAATAAACATTCTCTGATAATATAAGTATATATTATAGTTATAAGTATTTTATTAATTGATAACGCATGTGGTATAGAAGGCAATTTAGTTTCCTTTAAATGAGAGTATTTTGTTGTAAAAGGGTTTTTTTAAGTTATAGAGTGTTCGAAGTTCGATGCTATGACGAAAAACGCTAGTGGCTCCGTTAGTTTGTTTCCAAGTGTATATAAAGAAGGAAACGCAGTGTGTGACTAATACCGAAAAAAAAATTTGCGAAAAATCGAAAATGTCCAATAATGATTAGCCGGTCCCAGCAATTTAACCTAAGACTTTTTGCTGGGTTTGCCTAAGTCACGCCAGCGACCACTCAATAGAGCCTACCGTTTTTTTGCTCACCAGTTGGCGCCACTGTCAGAAGATGTTGTTTCAAAGGAAATCGAATATATCCCGCTGTTATAGATACAAAAAGATATTTGTATCTTTAAAACTATGCAGCTTTTATAATGCGAGTTTTTATTAATATACGTATACGAGTGATTTTAAAGGAAGGTTTATATGCATAATGTAGTAAAAAAACACTGACAATATAATTGTATGTTTTAATGCTAACTGAACCCTATTAGACTTTAGATGGGCCGTGTGCTTTTTTTGCCACAGTCGTGGTATGTATAATTTTTTATGCATTTACAGGGTCTACAAAGAAGTCCGGATAACTACTTTTTATTTGTATTCGAAGTTATTTTCTTCTGTTCACTATTAATCCTTATCTAAATAAATATGGTCATTAGATTAGGTATTAAACGCTAACTGCGTTAAATCTGCATTAATTCAATTGTATTCTAACAACATTATTATTTACACAATTGTTTGTAAAAATTCAAATCAATGGACCTAATTTTATTATATAATTAATTTTTTTTTGCAAGTGAAGGCAAAATATGGAGAAACTATAAATTTTGTTAACACCTATATATTATGTACCCATGTTTGCAAATGATTAAATGAATATGAATATTAAGTGCGGGAGAGCCATGCTTCGGCTTCGGCACGAATCGACCTCGACGGCTCGACTGGAGTGATACCACGGCCTCAAAGAAAACCGACGTGAAGCAACGCTTGCGCTGTGTTTCGTCGTATGAGTGACGTTAACGGAGGCCCAATTACCCTCCCCTTCCCCAATCTCCCAAATTCCTGAATCCCCAACGATCCTTCAACTCCTAATCCCCAAAAGGCCGGTAACGCATTTGTAAAGCCTTTGGTGTTCCAGGTGTCCATGGGCGACGCCGATGGCTTACCATCAGGTAATCCATCTGCTCGCTTACCGGCTTATGCCATAAAAAATATTAATGCTTAATTGTCTTTTAAACTATATGAATAAGAGCGCGTTTCTTCTGGATGTCACTTTTTCTTACACCGCGCGTGCGAAACGGCGGGTTCTCCTAAAGTAAAATAAAAAGCAGTGTCAAATCTATTTTCTCTAATCAGAAATATGCTGAAAATGTGCAAAGAAGGCTCTTTGACATCAAAAGAAACATAAAACTACAACACTGTTCTTTTGCACCCTTTATTATTATTTTATTACTGCACTTTTTTCTTGACGCATTATGGTGTATAGTCAGAATTTTAATTAGATTCCAGATTTGACAATAGCTACTGTCATTTTGTGAAATAATGATACCACATATAATAGTGTAGTGATGCACACAAAAATCGATAAACAATTAGTGTGTGTGTTATAACAAATATAGTTATTTATATATGTTATAACAAATATATACAAGTTATAACAAATGCTACAGAAAGTGACAGGATAGCGATAGCGATGCCGGCGACAATTTATAAAATAACTTATTACCATAATACATCTGTTTTATTTGTCATTTTCCTTCATGATTACATTTTTTTTATTTATTTCACACACAATTATAAAAGAAAAGTCTCAGATCGTTAATTAATCGTCAAAACTAAATTATCGGTTCAGAAATATTTAATTTCCTGATATACTTAGTTTACGAGAGTAAAATTATAAACGAGAAGAATCGATCCAGAAATATTGCATTTCCATATCGATTAATTTCACAACGTCACTAATTAGTACTTGTCATAACGTTGCAACACTGAAATTGTCAAATCTGGAATCGAATTAAAATTCCGAGTATAGATAATTTTATATTTTAAACTTACCTATAAAGTATGACATTTGACTATTCGAAAACCCCTTCTGACACCAGCGCCCCTAGCGGCGAATTCACACGCGTTAGTACCCATTAACTATGCAGTTAATCGGTAGTAGTGTGATCAAATAACCTTCTAAACTTTCACCACTCTCACCTGGTCCAAAAAAGTCGTCGAAGTCGTCATTTTCGTATAGATCTCCGATGGAACCATCGGAGCTCTGTTCGAGCATAGTGTCGACAAAATCAGGCCGGAGAAGTGGGTTACTGCGGTCATCCACTACGTCCACTGTTAATAGTTTGTGCGTCGGGTAGTCTTGCTGCAGCTGAAAATCATTTCTAATTGATAAATAACAATCGATGGAAATAATTTAATACAGAGTATTAGCACTCTGTATAAATTACTATTTGTCATTTTGCTAGCCCTCAGCATGTAGCAAAATTACTTTATACGAAACAGTATTATGACAATAAAAGTGTATATTACCTCAATGGGCGAGGCGGCGGTGCCGGCGAGGCGCAGCGTCAGCGGGCGCGGGCGCTGCAGCAGCGCCAGCACCGCGCCCGACACCACCTCCTCCGACACCCCGTCGCAGCCACTCACGTCCACCTCCTGCGCCCCGCAGTACAGTTAATACACGGTTTATCTCAATTAATACGAACGATCAGCTTTTTACATAGACTTTCAGACTACACACAAGTATTGACTGGGAAGTTGCATAAAAGTAGTTCCCCCGCACTGAAATACAGTTGCGGGGAGAGTAACGGTAAAACGGGGTGAATAGAATTCGTGGGGTGAATAAATGTTGGGAAAATATTCTAACATTTATTCACCCCATTCCTGAATCTATTCACCCCTCGAATTCACCCGTTTTACGGTAATCAAATAATAATTATGTATACCTGCAACATGGGGCACGCGGCGAGGCAGGCGGCGAGCGAGGCGGAGGAGAGCGCCGGGTTACCGCGCGCCGTCAGGCGAGTCAGTCGAGGCAGCGCCGCCGCCGCGCGGACGCCCGCGTCCGTCAGCGCGCCCAGGTACGACACGTCCAGTCGGGACAGACCGCGACACCCGCGACACACCGCCGACACTCCCTCGTCGCCCACTCCTGCACACACACCACGACTGTACTATACAGCTACACAGGTACGACACGTCCAGTCGGGACAGACCGCGACACCCGCGACACACCGCCGACACTCCCTCGTCGCCCACTCCTGCACACACACCACGACTGTACTATACAGCTACACAGGTACGACACGTCCAGTCGGGACAGACCGCGACACCCGCGACACACCGCCGACACTCCCTCGTCGCCCACTCCTGCACACACACCACGACTGTACTATACAGCTACACAGGTACGACACGTCCAGTCGGGACAGACCGCGACACCCGCGACACACCGCCGACACTCCCTCGTCGCCCACTCCTGCACACACACCACGACTGTACTATACAGCTACACAGGTACGACACGTCCAGTCGGGACAGACCGCGACACCCGCGACACACCGCCGACACTCCCTCGTCGCCCACTCCTGCACACACACCACGACTGTACTATACAGCTACACAGGTACGACACGTCCAGTCGGGACAGACCGCGACACCCGCGACACACCGCCGACACTCCCTCGTCGCCCACTCCTGCACACACACCACGACTGTACTATACAGCTACACAGGTACGACACGTCCAGTCGGGACAGACCGCGACACCCGCGACACACCGCCGACACTCCCTCGTCGCCCACTCCTGCACACACACCACGACTGTACTATACAGCTACACAGGTACGACACGTCCAGTCGGGACAGACCGCGACACCCGCGACACACCGCCGACACTCCCTCGTCGCCCACTCCTGCACACACACCACGACTGTACTATACAGCTACACAGGTACGACACGTCCAGTCGGGACAGACCGCGACACCCGCGACACACCGCCGACACTCCCTCGTCGCCCACTCCTGCACACACACCACGACTGTACTATACAGCTACACAGGTACATACAATACAATACATACATACTTATAGTCAAACGCAGGGAGGCAAAAGTGATATTTAGAAACGACACCACATCACATCGAAACTTAAAATTACCAATTATCAAAATACCCGCTTGGCTCTCCGACAGATATTTTTAATTGGAACAAACTTATTAAACTAGAATGAACATATTATGAGTTTGAAAGGAGGTTCATGTATTTGTGACCACATTATTAAAAATGAAGAACTATACCTGGATGAGGGAAGATCTTGCGAGAATTACAGCTGGAAATGTTGAGTGTTTCTAGTTTGGGACAACACTGAGCGACTCGTTTCAGTACAGTGTTGGTGATGTATATGTTGCGGCTCAGGTTCAGGCTCTTCAATTCAGTTAGGTTACCGATGGCATCACAGAAAGAGTCGTTGCATAGTGGAGAGAAACATGAATCTACTGATACATACTCGCTCAACGAAAGCTCTTCAAGTAATGGAAGTTTGTTGAGGATCATTGGTATTATTTTCCACATTGTGTGCGGACAGACATCCAACTTGAGGCAGGTTAAATTTGGCAATGTGTCTATCGCAGCACAAAGTACTGTGCCTTGAAGACTGTAGCAGTTGTAAAATGCGAGTGAGTTTAGTTTTTGTGGATTTGAACCAGTAAGGAATAATCCTGTCACATGTGTGTTATTCGTGACTGTTAAGCTTTCTATGCACGATTCGCTTTTGACTAGATGTACTAAACTGGAATCTGTTAACTGCAAAAGAAGAAACAAGACTTTTAATGAATTTACTATTTATTTATCATAATGATTTAAGTGACTCATAAAATAATTTCAGAGGTGTCAAGACTGTCAAGTCAACACTTAATAAAATAGGTGTATTTCTGCCCACTACCTACCCATGCAGAAAATAGTGTTACAGATAATTTGACGTATTTTCATACATTTTCAGGCTCAATGTGTTGAAATTGTAAATGGTATGTATACCTTCAACCTTCTGAACTAAGACTTTAGAGAATACTAGCTACTTCCGCGCGGTTTCACTCGCTCTGCTCGGCGCCTATTAATCGTAACGTGATGTTATATAGCCTATAGCCATCCTTGACAAATGGGCTATCTACAGAAAGATTTTTTCAAATCGGACCAGCGGTTTCGGAGATTAGCGCGTTCAAACAAACAAACAAAAAAAAACAAACTCTTCAGCTTTATAGTATAGATAAATAAATAATTAATGAAATCCTTACCTTATTGCATGACACAAACGATAAAGTTTTTAATTGTTTACAACCGTAGATTAGTGGATTCCAATTTCGCGTGTGCATTCCAACAATCTGAAACAAGTGTTGCCATATAGAAAAGCTCATACTCATCATAAAATAGGCCACAAGTATTTTATTACCTTTTTTGCATAATATATTCGTTTTAAGTTAAATATATCTATATTTTAAACAAAATTAAGAATTTTAATACAATACTAGATGTATTAATAAATTATATTTTAATCAGACTGCGACACACAGAAGACTTATTTTATTACGAACTAGTGGACTCCAAGAAGTTTATTTCGCCTTGAAATTTTTTCTGAGCATCTTTGTTAATATTTTCTGACATAAGAATTAAGAACGTTCTCCTAATAATAACAACAAACTCAACAAACAAAGAATTAGCGAAGTCGGTATATCTGCTCTAGTACAGTTTTACGCTTAACAACACATTTAGTGAATTATTTTAATATTATAGAAGATGAGGAACTAAGTATAATAAGTAGGTAAATGGTATTCACCTACTTATTATACTTTTTAACCTATTTACTAATTATGTTAAAGAAATAGAAATTCTTATAAAAATTATAAAGATCGGTAACACTCTAATATTAACTACATTGGACGTCTTTGGTGTGGCGCATACTTATGTGGAGTCTATAAGGAAAGGCGTCGATGCGCTTTTGTTAGAAATTTCTTTTGTTTTTTGTAGCAGCCCCTTGTATTGTCGCTGGCGAGAAGTGAAAGTGAAAGCGAGTCAGGTACCTATTTTTTTTTTCAATAAGTAACCAATACCTACATAGTTTCTTTGAATAAGAAAACGGCTATGTTCTTTGCTGTAAAGGGCAAAAACGGCATTGTCCGTCTGTAGGCTGTGTCATCAACCGCGAGTCCGCGCCAGTGACGTACCTTGAGCTCCTCGAGGTTGGGGCAGAACTTGCCGACGATGTGCGCGGTGCGGTCGTTGAGCGCGGACCAGTGGTGGTCGATGTGGAGGCGCGCCAGGCCGGCGCCCAGGCGCTGCACGATGCGGCGCAGCACGGCCGTCGTCAGCATCACCGGCACGTGCTGCCACCACGACGTCTTGAACATGCGGATGCCTGCAACACCACACCTCGTTCTTATACTTTCTATGTAGGTCTACTAGTTTTCTAGTCTACTACTACTACTCTTAGCACACTATAAAATGAAAATAAAGGAGATTCTCAGTTTAACCTATACGTACGTATATACATATACAGGGTGACTTGTAACTCGACGTATTCCTCTCGGGAGGTTTTAATACAACTACTTTCCTACAAAATTAGCACTGAGGTCTCTGGTCCGAAAGTGACTAGTTTCTGAGATATTCAATATTTTCAGTTTTGGTGAAAAAATCCCGATCGAACTACAAAAACATCAAAAACTTTTAAACTACTGGGTTGATTTAAGTGATTTTAGTTTTAATTTGTTGTAAATATATCAATAAACATTAATTAATACTAATACTACAGAACAGTGTTAGTTTTTCAAGTAACTAAATAATAGTATTTATATAAGATTAACAGTACAATGCTGTAATTTTATAATATGTGTAAATTTTCTGAAAAAATAAATAAGTAAATGTGATAAACTAATTACTGCTAGTGTTCCCAGGATAAAAATTAACCTATTTGTTACTGAATTATAATCTACTTCATTGTGAAATTTCATTCAAATCCGTCCAGTAGATTTTCATGAAAAAATAACAATCATCCATCCACATGTCTTCACAAATTTTTAGATCTTATACTATTATATAAAGCGGAAGAGTTTGTTTGTTTGTTTGAACGCGCTAATCTCCGTAACTACAAGTCTGATTTGAATAATTCTTTTTGTGTTGAATAGCGCATTTATCGAGGATGGCTATAGGCTATAAAACATCACGCTACGACCATAGGAGCTGAGCAGAGCGTGTGAAACCGCGCGGAAGTAGCTAGTATACAATATTAGTAAGTATGATTGTTTATTCAGTACAAACAATGGCCAGACTTTTGGTGGTAGAAGTTTGTGCACCAATAATCATTACATAGTAATTAATATTCATTAAATAGTGATTACAATCACACAATAATTACCATTAATTAAATAGTCATTATTCGCATTTCCTACTATTATTTTTTTATTACTGTGTGTTATAAAAATACAATAATTTTATGGGATGTTGTACATCACGGTAGAAAACTAATTTTGTATGAAAAATGCAAGTCATTAATACTCTGGTATGGACGCATATAATTAGGCCAGTTTCGGCTGTATGAAAAAACTAACCAAATAGATCAATTTGTAATATGAAGGGTATCATGTTAGTCTCACTCCCTATTATATTATGGTACTCATGACTCGGTTGCACCGTTGAAGCAGTGGCAGAGCCCCCTGACCGCTGTGCAACATAGAGAGAGTTCGATTCACATACAGAACAATAGGGTAGATGACTAATTTTCATTTTAATGTCCGTCTGGTAGATTATTTTAATTCATTAGACACGTAATTTTTATTTTTTTTTAAAAACGAATACTTTCGACGATATATTGATTTGAAATTTCGCATGTCGTCACTTCTATGTACATTTTATACGTAGAAATGACGTTTTAGCCCCCACTGCTAAACTTTGATTCGTTTTATCTAAGTATTGTTTTATTATACGACAAAATAAAAAAATACGTGTCCATAATATTTTTTCATTACCTTACTTATGGACTAATTATATTTTTATTTTCATACCCTGTCATCATCCCAATAATTCTTCGAGTGATTTTAAATTGTTATAAATATGTAATATTGAATTTTTACTAAACTAGTGGGCATTTGAAATAGTATATTTAATGTGCTCAGGCTACCTTTACAGAAAATAAAAAGCGTGAATATTTAAAAGGTAATATTTAACATTTATTTAATGATGATAAATATATATTATAATCAGATATTATAGTAGCTGGAGCTAAGAGACGGCCCTTTGTAATGTTTGTAATAGGAAAATGATGGAACAAATGAATGACCAAATGAATTTACTACTTGACCAATCGTGTCAAATGCTTTGTCTAACATAAATAACATGGTCTCCTCCTCTTTACCTGCAAGGTATTCGCGGACCATATTTTGCCAAGTTTTACTGACTCGTTCAGATCGTATCAGGTCTCTGATGGGAACATAAGACATGATGTGTGCTAAACAATCACTGTTCAAAACATCCAGTATTGTGTATTCAGGCGTCGTTTCACTGTCTTTCGCATCTTCTTTTGATTCAGGGTTCTCCTTTAACAAAATAGAAAAGTAATTATTATTTTAAATATATGAAGTGAACCATGAACTATGGAGTGTCTACTTATCTTTTAATATTTAGGTGTCTCTCAATAGTTCTTCTATTTATTTAATGTTACATCTGTGATGTCTTACCAATGGTGCATCTGTGGCACTAGTTGTTGCTTCCGCTGCATCCCCGTTGTCTGCTACCCATTCCGAGTTACTGACTTCTGCAATATTAAAATAATTCACTATTACTTAATACAATCTTAAACTCAAATTTAAAACACATAGCTTTAATATTGATTTGGTATAAGATACATGTATAAATAAGATATCTTTACCTGGTGGGTGAACAGAGTTTTCGGTAGTAGTAGCATGTGCCTCAGACCGTCGCTGGCCGCGGGGCTTCCAGCGCCCTCTACCATCAGCATCCTCAGCAGGCTGGTGCCAACTGTCTGCTGGCGATATTCTCAGGTTACGACCTCTCAGTGTCTTCTCATGACCTGGGGCTTGCAGCGCTCTGGAAAAGTATGTGTAAAAAATTAATATAACTAAAACATTGTTGTTTACATTATAATGAATCATCTCGTTTTATGTAGTAAAATGTCACAATAATATGTAATAAAGCTACTATTTTCATATTACTCACTTGTGTGCATCAGCTGGATTGCTGTAGGTCACAAATGCATATGTAGGTGTTGGTGTTTTATTGGGACCTTTATCTCCCATCCTTAACCAGCAGCTTTTGATGAAACCGTAAGGAGCAAACACACCAAATAACTCCGATCTGGTTGTCTAGAAAAGTACAGTTTATATTACAAACATAGGTCAACATGCTGAAAATCAAATATCTATTGAAGTTTCCCTCCTGCCCCAAATCAGGAATAACAATGTACAATTGAAAATTTGGAGAATGAACATGTGGTATTTTTAGTTAAATAATTAAAAATGCCACATTATAATATTATAATGAAGTTGTCATAATTAAGTAAAGATTTAAAAATACCAGAACTATAATTATTTTACAATAATACTTTACCACAATGTTAGATGGCAAGATTTGTTAGATATGCAGAAGACGTTTTTAATTTAGATCTTGCGCTAACAAAGACGAAACTAATCGAAATAACGCGAGTATGAACTGATGCTGGTATGAAAAGGCTCAGGTACATGGTGGCGCAGATCCGAGCGCGTGATTGGTGCGTTCGACAATAACAACCTCCCCTCCCAAATTCTGTTCACACCTGATCAGGGTTGCCGTGTTCTATGGATATTGGGCCATATTCTGTAATTATCTGAGGTCTACGGGAACAAACGTATTGCACAACATAGCAAAGGTGATTGAAAAAAATTTGTTGGTGCCTACTAAAGTGTATCAGAATTGTTTTTATGTATTTTCTTATTTTTAGTAAAATTTTCCTTGATTTTTTTTTTTATAAATTTATGAAACCTATTAATCTTCTTTTCAATAAAGTAACATAAAGCCATAGTGTTTCAAAATATTGCTAGTTGAACCGAAAATATGAATATGACGAATGGTACATTTCGGCACTTTTCCCTGCCAAACTAGGCAGCCCAAAATTCCTCACTGGCAACACTTTTCCCTATGGCACTTAAAGAGCACTGTTTTTGTTATTTTTTGATTATGACTTGTTTATGCTTTTTATTTGATGCCAAGAAACCCGGGGATAGTATTTTTATTTCAGTTGAGTTTTGGATGTAGGTAATTTGAATGGCGGAATGCAATTGAATTATTAAATTATAATAGTGAAATAGAAAATTATTTGCACTTTTTTATCATCAATGATAACAAAACATGCTAAAAAATCAAGAGTTCGAGTTAAGTAAAGTTGTAATAAAGCCTAGCCTAGAAAAGTAACACAATAAAACAAGTAAAGTAAAACAGATAACAAAGCAACCAATTTTTATATGCAATATGGTAATGATGCGGGAACTAATACATACATCATTAGAAGAACAAAATCTTGCTAACTTACATGTCTAATTACACAACTGGAGATATGTGCTTATTAGAAAATTAGCACATGTATTTGCATCACAATGTAAAGTAACATCATACTATTGACAAAAAAAAAATACCACATACATTTACTATTGAAAATAATCAAATATATTTTCAAAATTTTACTGGTTATACTTGGTTAGGTTGGCCATTGTTAGGCCTCAGTATTCCCTAACCCAGAAAAAAATAGACTTCGGATCCAACCAACGAACAAAGCCCGGGCCAGTGGCTTTGTTACTTTACTAGGTTCAAGATTAGGTATATTTTTAAACTAATGACAAAATATCGCATTACATACCTTTGGGGGTAAATTTGAGACATATAGCTTCCGTATAGGTATTCCATCTTCAGTATGTGTAGGAACATACTTTAAGCCATAAGGTGTGACATCATAGTTTGAATTGATGGCATCTGGAAATGTTAATACTAATATTTGCTCACTCACATGTTTGAATTCAATTTATCAAACTACTACAACTTGAATACCTGCGTAACTCGTCTAAAATTTTCTATTGACTAAACCATAACAGGTGAGCATATCATGTACAAAATTACCACGGAAAAATCCTTTCATAAAAATTGACAAACATGCATCAAGCCAGCAGCATTGATTATTTATTGGGAGTATAACATCCTTTTATACCTAAACAAAAACACATAATGATAAAAAGGGGTCTAGTGCAAATAAATACATACACAGTTCTCGACGAACAACGTGAAGTATATCCGGATTGAGAAATCTCTCCTCTTCTTCGTAAAACATGGTGTTATCTCACTATTTCGGATGGCAGACGGAACTTCGTTGTTACCAACGATTAATAGTCGAACATGATATCATCAAAATATAAAGAAACACAGAAAATTTAGAGTAAATACTCAAAATAAAATTGATAATTGCAAACGCAGTCAACATACAACGGCCGTGTTATTTTTTAACAAACAATGTTGCCATTTTCATAGATCTTATATTAATTTTTCTAAAAATATAATTGAATGAAATATTGCAACACAGTACAAACATCTGTCCCATGCTATTATTCATCTATGGTCAATGGTCCCAAGCCTATGCCTTTGAAAGCCTTGGAATTTGATTTGATTTGAATGGAATTTGCTCAATTTTGTGGATCATGTATAGTAAACTAAATCGTAGATACATAATTATTATGAATTATTATAAAGTACTTTGTATATCGAGGATGGTAAACATAACATAACATCACGCCTGTTTATCCCCGAAGGGGTAGGCACAGAAGTAACACCCACTTTTCACTATTTATGTTACAAGTCCCATGTAATAGGGGGTGAGCCTATTGGCGTATGTATATATGTGCCGTAGGTAGGTAGTATAGAGAGAGCTAGGATGGTAAAGTAATAAATATTTGGTCTTTTTTTTATAGCATAGGCCGGTAAACGAGCAGACGGATCACCTGATGGTAAGCAATCGGCGCGGTGGGTGCCGCCTTTGGACACCCGAAACATCAAGGCGTTACAAGTACGTTATCGGTCTCTTGGGAATTAGGAATTTGAGGATTGTGGAGGATCCGGGGATTCCGGAGACTAGGGAGGGGGAATTGGGACTCCGGTAATCTCACTTACGACGAAACACAACGCACGCGTTGTTTCATGTCGGTTTTCTGTGAGGCCGTGGTATCACTCTGGTCGAGCCGGCCCATTCGTGCCGAAGTCGAAGCATGGCTCTCCCACACTTATCTTTCTTTCTTATATTCTTTTATAGAGGAGTGGAAGGAGGGTAGGGAAGCCCTTGCCCTGCAGAGGGACGGCCATAGCTGAATAAAAAAAAATATTGTATTTGATCAAAACAAGATCGAGCCAATGCATGACATCTTTATTATTTCTATAATCTCTATGAAGTATGATCTCTAGTCAATGCATGGCAACATAGATTTATAAATATAACATAGATGTCTGGCTATTGTCTACGGGTAGAATTTAGGATCCAACTTGACGGTAAATTCATAAACATACTGTTGTTTCTTTTTTACTTATGTCTCTTTGCTTATGCAGAAAGAGACAACACATTATTGCCATTCTGGCCATAATTTTTTGACGTCATCAGAAAAACCTAGTTGTGCCGAATTGGCCATCTTAGTCCCCTGTTATCAGTGCATGTCAGTGGTACGTGGTACATCAGCTGTCAAAGCATTGGTCAACAATATTTTGTTACGAAAATTTGTAGAATTCCTGTTGTTTTTGTGCGTGGTAAACAAAGAAATTATTGGTTAGTGAGAAGAACTATGCCCGGGTGCAGTGTTATTGGATGTAGCACTAAAAATATTACTAAACCGGCAGGTGTAACATTACATCGGTAAGTACTGTTATTTTTCATTAAAATATCTCTGTTTTTCAAACTATTCAAGTGTGGTTGCTGCAAATTGACTAAATACAATACTTTTCTAACTAATGCAGTGCTTATTTTCATTAATTTTAGTTGAAATACGTCTAAAACAATTTTCATTAAAAAATAGTGATGTACATGATTGTTCCCGTATCGATAATTTTATCGTACATAATAAATGCGTCAAAAGTAGAACAAAGAACTATACTAAATTCTGAATGATAAAGTGCATTAATTTGACATAATGACAAAATACAAAAAACATTAAGTACTCGTCAAAAATTTCATTTTATCGACAAAATTCCACCATCGTCAATACCTACGTAATGTAATAAATAATTAATACAATAGAGAATAATTTTTGTACAATATGAGATAAGGAATAATATTGTGGGAAATGCATTTTTGTCAAAATTGATTTTTTTATCAAATGCCGCTCGACGGATTCAAATGAAACAAACAAATGAAATATAACTTTAGGGTATTTTTAGAGTATTTATTAGAATGTGTCGAACTCTGCCGATAATTTTAATAATATTATAAATTTTCTTTTTAGTTTGTGCTTGAACCACGCAGAAGTTCTTGGCTGGAAATAATTAATGTGGGAAATATAGATACTAGAAGGAAACATATCTTTGTTTGTTAACTTTATTTTGAAGATTAATGTTTTAACCGAACAATAAATTAATAGTAAATCTACGTGATGGGGCCCTATCGCTACAAGCTCTATTGGTAAATCATAATGTAAACGATTCATTATGTGTTTTGTTATATTAGTTTTGGAAGCATTTTTTGAAGAGGTGCAAACTTAACATTTTATTTAACATTTATATTAAGTTCATAACTAACCGGGTTCTTGTACCTATATGTTTCTGTTTTCCTCCGCTATCTATCACTATCATTGTAATGTACAAACATTTTCGTTCAGAGCTTAGTACAGTACCTATAGAATCTATAGAAAAATCTATGTTCAATTGGATCAAGTAAGTTAAATTATACTATTTATGTTGCAGCCTCTAGCCAGATATGTGCATGAAAATGAACTTGGAACCAGTTCTGGAGTCTTCTCGAAAGATGGTTTTGCAGATTACATTACAGGGAAACACTACGAAAAATACGAAGATATTGTATATTATAAATCTTGATTTTATGAATACTTTGATACAGTTTTATTTTTCAACCCTCAAAAATTACTTAACCTTAAGTATAATAAATATTGACCAGTTGATGGAAAATCCTTTTCATGAATTTCGATATATAAGTATCGTGAAAGTTATAATGTGAATGTATAGGCACGATCGACTGGGGTGACAGTGCACGCAGCAACTACTAAATATATTTCGCTAATATATTGGTAATGTTTAGCAGCTAGATAAAAATTAAATCCAGATGAATCATAAAATAATGATATTTTATTGATAAGTCAATTAAAACCAATTCTAAAATATCGATATTTCTACAGTTTTAAAAGTTACATCCCTAGTTCTATCCGCCATTACAGGTGACCAAGTGAAGTTTATGTATGTAGGCACGATTTTTTCCTAGTTGTTTCTTATCCATACTCTTATCATATCAGTGATGGCAATGACACAATGGACCACTGAGGAATGAATGAATGATGATGAATGATCCATTAATGACTTTTCGTGTGACAGTGTAACGAAACACCCAATAATGGTAAAAACATCAAAATGTACTCTGTGTCGTACAATCTTGGGTGCAATTTTGTTGTTTGACATCTGACTTTTGATTCATTTGGTTGTCTTCGATCCGTTTTGGATTACGAAAAACAAAAACACTAAAAAATTATTGGTACTTTTAGGCAACACGTTGAAAATAATTTAGAAATATAAAATAAATTTAATAAACATAGCAAAAGACATGCAAGATGTCAGGAAAAGAGCCAAAAGTAAGGATAAAGATGCGTGTGAAAGAGACATTGCGAAAAGTAATGAAAATAATGTAAATAATGATAAAAGACCGTGAGTAATTAAAATTGATTTGTTTGAAAAAATAAATTCATGCAATACTTAATTCTTGTAAATATTGCATAGGTATATTATGTTCCCCAACGTCAATATCATAATTACAATTATCATAAGTATTTTATCTTTCTAATCTGAAAACAAATACGAGAACTACTTTTTAAATAGTGTCGTGTGTAGGTAGATAATAATTATGATATGGATATAATAATAAATATCAGTATTCCAATGAATAAAGAACTTATTTACGTTTATTTACTAAATAAAATAAAATATGTCACAACAAACAAATTGTATTTTGTCATAATATTAAAAGTAATTATTATTTTTGCAGAACTACAAAGAGAAACATATCATTAAGAATAATTTCTCGTGTGGTGGTTATTTTTTCTCTACTCATAGTAGTTTACTTTTCATCTAAAAATGATAAAGTAAGAACCTTTGCCAAGCAATCGGAATTACTACCAGGCAAGGGCTTGGTTGTCGACTGTTCTCCATCATACAAGGAGGAAGTGGAAAAATATGAGGGCTGTGTTCCTAAGGAATGCAAAAGATTCATCACAGATAAAGTGATATCAGTGCGAGAAGCAGAAGAACTACTGGCTATAGCAAAGAAGGGCCTCAAGCTGGGAGGTTCCTCTGGTGGGGCTTCAATCCTAGATTTACATAGTGGAGCTCTATCTATGGGGCAGCACTTTGTCAACATTTACAAGCGTGAGGATGCTAAACACATATTCAGTGAAACTGACTTTAATATTTATAGAGTAAGCATTATTTATTCCAATTAATTGACCAAAATTGGTAAACTAAATTATAAATATATTTCCTATATCCAAGGTCTCTTATATTACAGGTAATCAAAGAGAAAATTAAATATGCTGTGGCTCATCACTTTGGAGTAAAACCTAACAAAATATATCTGACACATCCAACATTTTTCTCTGAAATAACGTCCAAGAAAGCAGTCACCATGCATGATGAATATTGGCATCCTCATGTCGATAAAGTATGTAAAAAACATATTGGAATAAATGAATTACTTTTATAATTCAATAACAGGCGCTTATGAGGGATTGAAATATACTGTGTTCATTTTTAAGTCATTTCTCCTCATTTCAGGAAACATATAAATCATTCCACTACACAACTCTGTTATATCTTGGTGATTACAACATCGACTTCAAAGGTGGAAGATTTGTATTTGTTGATGACAAATTTAACAGAACAGTAGAACCAAGAAAAGCCCGTCTCAGTATGTTCACCAGTGGCCGTGAAAATTTCCACTATGTTGAAAAGGTGACATCTGGCATCAGATATGCAATGACCATATCATTCACCTGTGATCAGCAATATGCTATTCAAGATCCTAGTACAAATAATATATAAAGTCTAACATTCCAATTGTATAATTCAGTGTTTTATTTTTATAGAAAAACTGCTTACATATAACCTACATTACCTACCTACCTTCATTCAGGGTCAGTACTTATATTAATCTATGATTCAGGAATAACTAGCATGTCTGAACTCTGAAGTACCTACCTAGTTTTTTTTTTCAATAATTCACCTTTATATTGCCAACAACAGAGACCGACACCGTTTAGCAAGGTATCTCGACAAGGTCTCCTTAGCATTGTGTACTGCGGCTATAAGCTTACAGAATAAAACCGAATCCTACTTCTAAAATATCTCACAAAAATTCAATAAGATCTATCTTCTCCTATGTACTTCCGATTTATTTGCGAGTATTTTGTAATTATTGTCATTTATTGGTTTGTTTGTACCTAGGTATGTGCTTCTGCTTACATAATAAGTTATAAATGCGCACAAGTGCGCAACTAATTATATTTTAAATTCATTTAATGCCAACTGTGGTGTAGACTCAGTACAGTAAAACGGGGTGAATACAAATTGAGGGGTGAATAGATACAGGAATGGGGTGAATAAATGTTAGAATATTTTTCCTACATTTATTCACCCCTCTTCTGTATCTATTCACCCCTTTTTACGGTAGTTATTTATTAATAATAAAATAAAATTATTTTTTTCTACCGGCAATGCCGATATTATTGACATTTTTTGCTTGTGGCTGACTTCGTAGCGGTTGATATCAAAACAAAACATAGTCGCATTCATGACGTTGTTGACATATTTTTTTAAAAACAAAATATAAAACATGTCACAAAATTCATAGTTTTTGAAAAAACTAAATTTCAGTGTAACTGGACCGTTCCAAGCGTATTTGATACTCAAAATTTTTGTTTGGAGAGTTACACTAAGGTATGTTATTAATTTGATGCGCAAATTGTAATTTTGGCATACTTCGTTATCGGCTCGGTTTACATTTCTCCAGCGCGCACGACCTTGGTTTTATACTTTATGAATTTGTTATTTATTTTAATAGATAATTTAAATGGACGGGTCTACAGTGGACCACAGCGATTCAGATTCTGGAGAGAGTTGGACTCTTTTAGAACATAGCCCTGCGTGTGAAGAAGATGCTCCAGAATTTTCGGAAAATGTTATGCCTGAACAGTAAGTTCTTCAAGGTCTATTGTATCAGTAATAATAACATTCACTCCGCCTACTGGCATTTCGATAACCCATCCACCTGCAATTCAGTTTGTCCTTGACCTATTGTAAACTACTTATACTTACGTCTCGATTCTAGAACCATTTCTTCAGATTTCGTAATGATTGTTAGTATGTTAACTTGGAAATTACTGTTAATTAATTTTATGATAACATGCCTCATACTGGTTTTCATTAAATCAGTGACTACATTTATAATGGTAATATCAATTAGATATAATAACTATTTCATTCTTACAGAGTAATTATTGATGCACATCTTGATAAAGATGAAGACACGGATGGAATATCTGTCATCAGTGACAGTGAGCCAGAGTCATCAACTCCTTGTGAAATTAATTATGACAAATGTCTTGAAGAAGAGAGCCGTCCAACAGAAACAACAGATACTCAATTTATTTCGGTTAATTCACTTGCTCCCAATATTGAGAATCATCATGAATCTATAAGGTGTGAGAATAATTTTCTTGGAGAAAATACAGGTAAACATAAAACATATGTTCATAGAAGGAACAAAAGGCTTAGCACAGTACTCAACATTATTATGTTGGGGAGTGTCATTACTGCTGCAGGAGTTGCTATTGGCCACATGTGGGGTGCTCGAAATGAATGTTCAGTGCATACAACACCCTCAATCAACAAAATATTGTCCAATTTATATAAGCTGCAAGAAGAAAATGCTTATCTACGAAATAAATTGAAAGAACTTACACTTGTGAGCAGCATCCAAATGCAGAGAAAATTAAATGCAGAAAAGATACCATTCAAACAACAGAGATGCAAAAAGATATATGAGGAGCCACTCAACAGTAAAAATACAGAACAAATCACAAAATGCATAGATGATCATATCAATATTGAAAAAATTTTAAACAGTCATGTGATACAACCAGAATATGAAAAGGAATTTATGAGTGACATTGAGAAATTAAAAAATATATACCAGCAAAATAAAAGTTGGTTGGATGATGAAGTTGCAAAAAGAATGAAAATAGAAGAACAAACATTAAAAAAAATGGTTAACAATATGAAAACACCATTAACAAGTATAATAGAAGAGCAAAAAGTGATACAAGATGAAAATGTCAAAGAGCAGACAGATTTAAATAGTTCAGGTGATGCTGAACCAGTTCAACTAAATGCTGATAATAAGGGCATTCCAAATGAACCTGAGAAAAAGTTTACCTATGCTGACTCATTAAAATCTGGACATAAAATGCAAAAGAGAGATACAAGTAGTACTTTAGGCAACTACAAAGAAACCAAAGATCATGCCATAAAGCGAAAGAACAAAAAAGACCATGATGTTATTTTAGACATTTTAAGTGAAGAGGAACTAAAAAAAGATGATCGATATGTTAGCCCAAAAGTTAAACAAGACTTAAAAAAGCGTGACAGACAAAAACTGCACAAGAAACAGAAGAGGAGAAACAAGTATGAACAATGGGAAATGAAAGGAGGTTACTTGAAAGACTATGACGAATTTTCAATAACATCATCTCAAGAAAATGAGTTTGTTCTTAAAAAACCAGATAGGAATGTTTTAAGTCGAGATTTTGAAAAGAAAAACTATATTAGTCAGTTTTCAGATATGGATGAAGATCAAAATAATCCAAATAATAAGAAAAACGAAAGTAAGCCTTCGAAATCCGATAAAGCTAGTAAAATAGTAAAAAATGATGATTTAAATTGGTTTGACAAGAGAGCCGTCCTTAGAACAGAAGCTCGAAAAAAACTGGAGCACGAGCTATTTGGTGAGACAAGCCCCAACAACGCTGGTTGGTACTTCCGACGCATGCAAAGGCGGGAACAGTGCCGTGCTAAAGGCGACAACAGCACTCATAAGAAGCTTTCTAGAAGGAACATGAATTTTAAAATGAAACATTAATAGTGTAGCAATGTTGTTATTTATAATGAATTACTAACAATTTCAACACTTACCTTTAGGTGTGTAGTTTAGAATAGTTGCAGTCCTTGAAATCTAAATGTAACTTGACTAGTTTGATTTATCGCTGTTATGTGGTCAAATATATACTTGCATATGTAACAGAAAATAATATATATTTTTTCATTTCGCTTTACATTAGATAATCATAGAGATAGAAAATTATTCAATGTTTGGTCGCGTAACAGCGTAAAATACACCATAGTTATATTTTACGTCACTATTTCTGACTTATACCTACAAGCAAAGTAGTTTTAAAGTTTGCCATGTTCTTAACTATAAACACGATTCATAAAATGCTACAACTTTAGTATCAAATAATTCAGAATTACTCTTTTTGAGCATTTTATTATAAAAATATTTGCATTTGCTAGATAGAGTTTAGAGTATACTTGTTGGAGTCATTGAATTGTTCATGCAATTTTTAATACTATTCTATTTATTTATATTATAGTATAACTATCATATTTTTATTATACTTACCCTTATGGACTTGCCTCCCGTGATAATTAGAAACAGTATTTTCAAAATTACCAGGTAATAAATACATTTAAAAATTTGTTTTAGTATTTATTTGAATGTTTCTCATAGAACAATATTGATAATGGACAAATAAATCTGTCAAGCAATGGACAAATAAGCTAAAAGTAACTGGAAATATTATTTTGGAAGAAAATATTAAATTTTCAGTCTTAAAACAAACCGGTACGAATAAAACAACTAGTTACCTACATCGATAATAATGACAAAATAAATCTACAGCACTGACATGATTACACTTCATTACATTGTATTTTAATTAGTATGGATATAATTTAATCATCTCCAATAGCTCCGCTAAACACGAGGTTTATAGCAGCATTAACATCTCCTGAAAAAAAAAGTTTAGATTGAATTAAAACACTGGGTATTTTTATTTAGTTCAACTTACGAGCTCAACATGCAGCAGAATGAATTAGATGTCTTTGTCTCGTACCGGAGCAAATGAGCAGAGCACGTATGTTGAGGGCATCGTCTAGCAAGCCCATTTCATGCATATGATTGAGCTGTGTTGAGAAATCTTGACCAGGTTCCCTCGCCACCGGACTTTGTGAAGACGACGCTGTAAATTGAATTGATTGATTTGATTCTGAATTGTCTAGAACCAGTATTTTTTATTTGTGGCCAACACACAAGGTATTTGTCCTTTGTTCTATCTACCTGCTGTGCTCTGATCCATTGGAGTGCCAGCAGTGTTCCTAGTGCTACCAGCTCTGTTCATAGCCTCTGAGATTGCTTCGCTGAACATCTCCGGTGTTATCAGGGGGCGTGTCGAACCTGGACCTGAATTATAAAATATGATTTATTTCCACCCTTACTTTTTTATGTCATAGGAATTCACCAAAACCGAATCAAAATATAATGTTTCCAATTAAAATATTAATATCATATTAATATCATAGATCGCAAAGTTTGTAGTAAAGTGCAAAACTCTCAAATGGCTATGAATCAGTTGAATACTTTGTTTTTCGTCCTATTTCATTCCTAGCGTATCTAACATTGAGATTTTATCGGAAGTCTGTGGAAATTATTTCCATTGAAGTGGGAATGGATCGCTAGTTTCATATGAGTATCTTTTATTGAGTCTAGCTAACCTACGCCAGTAGGCGTGCCAGACTCGGTGGCTGATGAGGTGGTCCTGCTGGATTCGCCGGCAGATTGCAGTAATCTCAGTAAACTGTCGTTACTTCCCGCAGCTCGACTGCTCGTAGATGACACAGCTTCTGTTGCTGCCTAAATCAGATTTATCGTTTAATATTAATGATGTATTAAAAATAATTGTAAGTTATCGAATTTTAAGATTTTTACACTTTCCCCTCCATCCGATTTTCCTAAAATGATTAATTTCATTTAACTATAAATATGTAAGAGTAGATAATATCTACTAGATATAGACATGACGGATATATGTATATCTTGTGGTAGACATACTGATAAATATGTAAAACGAATTGAATAAAAACCTGTAGAGCAGCAGCAAACTGCTCATGAGTGATGGGGTTCCTTTCACCTTCCTCATTCTCTTCCTCATCAGCATCTTCGTCCTCAGACAAAGCTTCCAATGAGTATGCAAATCCTGAAGTTGGCACTGAAAATCAAAAATATAATATTTGACTGTCACACAAATATTTGGATTTGTGAAGATTGGTGCAAAAATAGGATAGATAAGTATGTATTAAAATCGCATTTTTAATATACATAGTCAGTGCAGAGTATTTTTGCTTGTATATAGACATATATGTACTCTATGAAATAAATTTAGTTTTTGTCCCACGGCAGAGCAATTTACCACAAGGAGAACTTTTCATGTAGGTATAAAGTAAAAACAAAAATAAAAATGTAATTTCATGGAAATACGCCTATATATGAAACCTTAGATGTAAATTTGTAGGCACTATTCGCATCGCATGTGCCACCCCACGAGAAATACTTCTTCGAGAATTACATGGTGTGATGTTTTGATAACCACATGCGCTTTCGAAGTTTACTTTTTGCAATGGTTCACCAGATATTTTATTTCTTTGTAAAACTGTTGTATTACCATGATAGAATTTTACTTCGGGGCGAAAACGAAATAGATTTCACGGTGTATAAAATTACAACTATGGTAAATCACATACCACTTTCATTAGATGAACTAGTATTAGACCGTGAACGCACAAGCCTCGTAAGGTGTCGCAAAGCTGCCGGTAATTGAGGATGAGCGGTAGCCCCTCGCCTCATTGTGTGAATGTTCGCTCCTAGCGCCGCTAACAGTTCCACCTCATGTAGAATAGATAGAGCCACACAGTCTTCTCCTATAGATGGCGCTTGTTCAATAATCTCAGCCATTGCAGATTCGTCATTCAACAACTGTAATCAAGATTGTCTGCATAATTTATTTTTAGAAACAAATATGTTGGTTCTGTTGGTCCTTGGATAACCTCGCTGCTGCGTAATGTGGCAAGGGTATGATACCCAGACAGATCATTTTTGGTGCAATCCACAAATTGTTGTTTCTGATCTAGTTACGTTGTCTGTTGTCTATTTATATGAAATTATCTGTTTATTAATGCTTATGACACAAGAAATATAGTATATTATATTTTTTAAAATAAAAATAATTGTTTACATTTAAATAATAATTCTCTATTTGTAAGAATGATAAACCTTACCTGCATTGCTCTTGTCCAGCCAGGAGCATTAGGGGTGCATCCCAATGTCCTCAAAGATGTGTTCAGCTGCTGCAGCTCAGCATCAGAGTATGTTGGTGGTGGTGCTGCTGCAGCCTGCACCTTCTTCTTGACCACATGAATCATCTCACCATTTTTAACACCACTATCTTGAAGAGTGACATCATCCTTCAAAATTTTCCCATGATGTATAAGTTCTGAAATTTTTTAAATGAATATATTTATTTAACTTGTGTACAATTATATTATAACTTAACACATAACATCACACTTTTTTATCCTCGAAAGGGTAGGCAGAGGTGTATATTATGGCACTTAAAACCACTGTAAAATATAACATCCACTTTTCCCCATTTATGTTATGAGTTCCATGTAAGCCTATTGTTATATACAGGGCACAATTCCAGACTTCGTGCTACTACTGAGAATTATTTTTAAAAACCTAGTAATACTTTGCCCGATACGGGAATTGAACCCGAGACCCCTTGCCTGGCAATCGCCAAAGTCTATTTCTTAACCCGTTGAAATCCATCCCCTAAATTTGGTCATACAAAAGTAGTCTCTAAACATTAGAAATAAGGTCTATAATGTAATGTAATATTAGTGGAAAGCGGTCACCGGTGACCGCTTAGGGATTTATGGGTTAAATGCAAGTTTGTGTGGATGTAGGTAGGTATATTTGTTTATTATGCTAAACTGTCAAACATCGCGAGGACACCGGTGACCGCAACCTATTGTTCTATAATTGTGTCTATAATGACGGTACTCAACAAGTATGCAAAACGACTGAATGGATTTGAATATATTTTATTGTAACTGGTTAATAAAACATAGGTAAATTTTTTATCCCAATGATGTACATGAAGTTGCAGGCAAAAACTAGTGACATTTTAATAAGGTATTTTTCTATTTCTCCAATAATTGAAACACCTTACCTAAGGAAGCTGATGGAACATTCGTTTTCTTTTCTGCTTCACTTTTAAGACTATCCACAGTATTATCTAATGCAAAGTTTTCAATTTTACACCGTTCTATTGGGCCAGGCTTTATCTTAATGCCCAAAAATATGCAGGGTTGACTGTCCATAGTTATCTTAATTAATGAAACCTGAAATTATGATAACTTCACAGTTAATAAAATCATTGTTCAGTCAGTACTATACAGTTCTATGTTGGCACAAAATTGATGCCATATTCACAGCTAAAGACTGAATAATTTTATAAATCGTTAGTGTTTAAGCGTTACTTCGGAAATACGGTTTAAAGATCTTGAACTACTACTAGGTATTTTATTAGCACAACATGAAGTCAAATGATATGCACTAAAAAATACAAACAAAAAGCAACAAGAATTACGGTTTGTTTTTATTTTGTACTTACACTTATTTAGACGTGTTTACCACTTTTTAATAATAATGCTCCAGTGGTTATACGTTCTATTAATCTTATTTACTGTAATCCACACTGTCTACCTACTACTTTATTTTGATTCACATCGCAACATTTCAGAATTCAGATTTTTCGCCCGTCATCATTCATTGTATTTTCTAAGGATGTGAAACACTGAGGAACAAGCTATCAAGCTAAGAATTGAATACAGATAATGAATAAAATTATAGTCGATTACACATTCGTTCGATTGAATAGAAATGATCACATGAAAACTCAAAACGCCAGGGAAGCAAGTCAGAAGTAAACAATTAAATTATTTTCTTTTGATTTACATAATACATACAAAATAATGGAAAATGTAGGTACGCCCGTTATGTTTTTCGTAGGTGTATTAATCCAGATTTTTTCCAGTCTCTATATTTATTATATCAATGAGTACATAGTTTATGGCCTTATACTTTTTGGTTTATGATTTTGAATTATTTATGAATACCTACTCTTTGGTTTATGGTTATTCATGACCCATCTTATTTTTATGTTATGTCACTGTCATTAATTACGCAGATATCTCTAAAATATTCAATGTGAGAAAATGGTTTTATCGAAATGATTTGTGCATCGTTTGGCAACGTGAGAAAGGCAAATGAAAGCTTATTGCGACTAACATCTTTAAAAGTTGATAAAATGACTTGAAAATGAAGGAGGAATCTAATGAAATTTTGGAGGCTAAAGTTGCCGAGCGCAATGAACGTGCCAAAAAACTTTATCGGTGAGTTATTAACTTAACCCATTTGAGATATCAAATATGAATAAATCTTTTTGTGATCAGAAAGTTTTTTAGTAATCACAATAAGTGTTTTAGTAATCAGAAAGCAGGTCAAAGTTGACTTTCAAAATTTATATATATTAAACCAGTTTTCCAAGTTGCATAGCACAATTTACATAGCAAAGTATTA